CAAGTTCGCGACCCAGACAATCGGCCAGGTGTTTCTTTGCCCAGCCCGCCGTCTCAACTAAGGCAACAACAAGACATCCGGACAGCAGCAGTCACGGGACGTGATCAGCGGCACTCTACCTCCGCCTCTTCACCGAGTGACACACGCGTTGCTTCACAGTTGCAACGTTCAGCTAGGGCACCAGGACAAAAGGACTGGGGCAGTTTGTCGGATGAAGACGAATCCCTGGAAGGTAGATCCAGTCGAGTGAAATTTGGAGAAACAATGATTCAATTGTTTAGCGGTGATGAACCCCCATGTCAAGTTGGATTTGGACTAGGCCGATCATTGACAATCAAGTCTAAGCCTGCAAAGTCAATATTGAAGAAAACAACACATGCCACCCAACCATCAGTCCTACCCAAAAAGTCGACTGAATTCGTTTTTCCACGTGTGACGTCCCAGCGCTATGTTCAAACAAAGTTAGCAGCAATGGCGCCACGGAGGGGAATACGGACACCGAGACTTCGAGCAGCGGAAGCACGAGCTGATCGTGGATGGGAAGACGGTGACATGAGTGCATCGAAAGCCTACTTCCATCAACGAAGATCTATGCATGACAAGATGCCCAGACTCAAACCTTTCAGGTGAACCATTGAAATGTGTGCAAGGCCGCAGCGGATCCCTGCCTACGTGAAGCTTTTTGTGTTGTTCTCAGATCAAGGGGTAGCCATTCGGAAGGAAGCTTTGACCAGGGGACAGTCCACGTTCGCATTAGCCCCACATAATGCGTCTTCATGCATCGTTTCTACACTTTGCCCTAGCAGCCAGCTGATACATTGTAGGCGGGATCCTCTAGTTGCGTGCCGCTAGGCAGCCTCCTTCACCTTAAATAATTTAACAGCCTTCAACGCAGCCTCTTTGCAATACACAATGGTATAGTAATGCAGCCTCCGTTTTCTTCATTTGACTTATTTCACGCACTCGATGATGATCCTAGGTAGCTTGTATATAGTCGTACAGGCCGTGGAGATTACCAAGTAAGTTAATAAAATACAATAGCAACAACACCCAAATGATACTGTCCTGGAATCAATCACTATGTGCCATCTAAGATAATACTCATTAACCTGGTGAGTGCCACACAAGAGATACGAGCCGGGATACGAGTAGGTGATCGGTAATCAAGTAAATATGAGTATGACTATGACTGAGGCTGGACGCAAGGATAGCAGAAGCGACCGGCTAGTCGTGTACTCTTATGTTGCTATGGCAGTGGAACACTTTTAAAACGACAACAACAACAATAATACATATTGCAATTTCGAGAGCAGTACGAGGCATGTGGTCTCTAATTTCCTAACAATATACATCGTGAGAATAAAGATTTCAAACAACCTTTGCTGTTGCCGAGGCCGTGTTTGTATTGGTGCGTTTCCGTTGAAGTAAGTTAGTTGCCGGGCACCACGTTTGTTGATTTGTGCCTTTTGAAGTTGCCAGGCTACTGACTTAGTAATCCTGTAATCCTGTAACACGCACCGGGTGACATCACAGTCATAATTCTCAAATTGTGTTGTTGGAAATAATTTATTTGCAACGCTGTGCTATTTTATGGTGAAAAAGGAGAAGGACAAAATGTTACGAGTTATGGCTAACTGTCCACCATGTCACCATGATTTAATTGGCTCACCATCCGAGTTCAACTTTGTCCTATTTAATAAGGCGATAAGAATTACTGGCCCTGCATTGGCTAGTTGTGCCCAATGGCTCTTGCTGGTCACCAGCTTACTTGCTAAGCATAATAACGCACTCATTTCTGTACTCGGCTATTTGCTATTGATTGATTGATTTTTATTTCACGGATCCTCCAGAGGCAAAAAGATGCCCATCGAAGGGATCGGGAGTCTCCTAAGTAAGTATGGAAAATGAGAAAGTATGTTCGTAAGGGAGAAGAGGTAGAAGATACATTAGAATATAGAGTACAAAAGAAGTAAATTCAGTACTTCGGGTAGTACATTGCATGCTAATCATATTGAGAATTAGAAAAGCAGCATTGCGGACTACTATAACTGACATATACACAAACTATTGAAACTATCATAGATGTGGTTAGCCTAGACACAAAAGTCAGGAATACCTTTCAAAGAAAACATAGATTGCGAATTGATACCGACGAACAGCTATCATTGGTGATATTTTTAAAGAGTGACAAATGTAAGAAATAAATGAGTTCTAAAAATTTAATATACATGTACGTTGAACCAGCGGCAAAAGCAGCAGTACACAACGTCACAAGACAAATGCCCGGGGTCAGGAGCCATGGCGAAGTGTAAGGCCTCTGGGCTCTCTGTTTGGCACTGCACAAGACGTAACACGCGGGATTGGTCTTTCTGCTGTAGCATTCGGTCGAATGAAGCCGGCGATTTCGTTTCGGCGGCAACATCTACAACCTAACTACTGTACATAACACACCTCATGCATCTTACCCCTGTCCACTACTGCACTAGCACCTTCATTGGCGCCATTGCAACATACTATCACCCTTTCCTCGTTATAAGTGGTTGATGCATGATGAACCAGGTGTCTTACTTTTCTAGTTCAAAACTGCTACACTGGTAGCAGAGGATGGTTCGGAACTTCCTACTCTGCTTTTGGAGGTATTCTTGAGGATAGTTCCTACTCTGCTTTTGGAGGTAGTTTGGTCCCTCTGTTTACGGTCCTCGCACTCGTCTTTTGGCTGATTATCGAGACCAAGACCGCTCAGCGCGTTAGCCAACAAAACAGCAGGATACCTCCGAACTCGGAGAAGCCCGTGTTGGGAGGAGATTCCACTACGTTCAAAGACTGGACGTTTGCAGTGAGCATAGTCCTACGGTCGTTGCCATTCCCCAATGTGCAATGTGGCGCAGAGGGTCGACTACGCGACTATTCTTGACGGGAAACGCTCGTCTTTGATTGATAGCGGCGTCGGTGGCTAAACAAAAAAATACTACCAGTATGTTTTCCGGCTGGCCAGCTCTAAAGGAGGCACTTGGCGACGTGTACCACGGACGCGGTACAACGAGGAAACAGAGCGCTACCCAAGCGCTGGTCGCCAGTAAGAAAGAGATGCGCTTCCTGGCGACAACTCGAGCACCCACATCGTTACCAGTCACTACCCCGGTTCGGAGCTCTGGAGACTGAGGACGTTGCTCTCCAGGAACCCACGGAGCGGGCTTACAAGGAACAACCCCAACACCAACTAACTTCCGTGCCAACGAAGTAATAGTTCAGTTGGACGGTGAGCCCTTCGTTGCCGAGTCGGCTCCAGCTAACCTGGTGGTAGGTGACCAGCAAACTGTGGAAAGTATTTTTCACTGTAATATCAGTGGCCGCCTAGCTCGTCGCGCCCCAAGGAGCGGAGCAGAGGGGTTTCTTGCTTGGGTCACTGCTTCAAACCAGGAGAACCCTTCCAGGCTAAAGGTTCAGGAATCAGAGCAACAGGACATCCAAAACGCGCTCAAGAGGTACAGGGATGTGTTTCCAGAGGAGCTGCCGAAAGAGCTTCCACCGCTTCCACCGGAGAGACCAATCGACCATAAAAATAATCAAGATAGAAGATGGAGCCAGACCACCATCTCGACCCGCCTACCGTTTGTCGAAACCAGAGGTGGACGAGCTCCAGTCACAGCTGTCAGAATTACTTAAAAAAGGGATTCATTGAGCCAAGTAAGTCACCTGTGTTTTTTTTGTCCTGAAGTCAGACGGTATACTCTGAAAATGGTGTGCGATTGGTGAGAATTAAATAGAATTACGATCAAAAACAAAGCTTGTTTGCCCAATATTCATGACTTATTTGACACGATTCAAGGTAATGCATATTTCTCCAAGTTAGTTGGACTTGTGGTCAGGGTACAACCAAATCAGAATTCAAGAGGCAGATGTTTTTAAGATGGCCATTAACTTAATACACCGTTCGGCCACTCCCAATTTAGAGTCATGGGGTTCAGGTTGACTAATGCCCCGGCCACCTTTCAGTGGAACTGTACCTCCGAAAAGTCGTTCGTATATTTGGATGACATCCTAGTATTCAGTAAGACCTGGGAAGTCTTCTTCAAACAGTTCTACATACATTTCTCAAGGTATGCAAGCTCCACTGCAGCCACTTCATTACATGAGAAACCCTACGCACGCCATCCTCAAATCAAGTGGTCTCTTCCTGATGATGGCTTGGGGCCAATCATTTGAGATTTAGCAGCAAAGAGACCACTTGATTTCAGGATGTGTGTAGGGTTTTTCATGTAGTTCTAGAAACACCTTCCGCCCCCTGCGTAGCCTATTGTAGTCGGAAACTGTCAGCTGCAGAACGCATCTACACTGCAGCCGAGAGAGAGATGGGTTTGCCTAGGACCGATACAGGTCATGATGCTATACTACATACCTGCTAACCATCCCGATTTGGCCGGGACCGTGTCGATATCGAGGGTGGTAATAGGCACCCAAAAGTGCATTGGTCACGTGCCTCACGGCTACATTTGTATACATTTTCATACCTAGATACGTCATTGTCCCGATCTCCGGTTTGCAAAGGTTGGCAGGTATGATATCACCGGTATATTTATTTGTTAATTTTTTTAAAAATAAGTCACAGTAAATTATCGTGTCCGTTCCCAAAGGGAACTCACGACGGCCGCTAATACCCGGTAAACCCTAGCGGCAGATGTAGCGCCTAACGGTGGGGTTGTTTTAACAACCCCACCGTTAGGCGCTACATCTGCCGCTGCCTAAAACCGCTTGACAAAGTGTGCACATTTAGCACCTACACGTGTACTTCCTCGACTATTGATGCTTAAGGTAGTGCTGATCTGTATATTCGATGTGTATTTCGACTTCATGGTTTGAATTCTACATTGCATGCGATCGTGACCCAATATTTACGGCAGTATTCTTTCAGGAATTGTTTGATCGCTTAGGAACAAAACTAGCATTTAGTACTAATCACCCTCAGACAGATGGCAGCAATGCCGCTGGTGACAACGGTATTCCATATTTAGCTTGTTTGCAGTTAGGTCTCTCAACAAGTAACTACTGTATGCTCAACAAGTTTACCCAAAGCCTTCAAGGGAAGACATGAATGGGCAGATTCACTAGGGTCCGAATAAAAATTCCTACAAACAATGTCAGATTGTCAGCGGTATGATAATCACTCCTGTGATAATGATGCAAGACAAAAGCAGTGTGTATGTATGTGTAGGAGGGGAGGGGGGGGGGGGGCATATGGGTATGTAGGAATGTGTGAGTGAGTGCAGTTTTGGGACATCGGATGCATGCAGGGAGAAATTCCTATTGTCTCAAGATGCGGACAATGATGCCAATTGTCAAATCTCAATAATTCCGTCTAGCATGCTGTTTTGGGAAGTTCTGCATTTCTGAAACCAAATCTTCACCTGGGATTCTAACAGGCCACTGTACGCTGACCAGTATTTGCACCTTGTCCTCAGGTTGGTGAACTGTACATGCTACCACCGGCAGGTTGTGCGAAGGTTTGTGAACTGTAACCACCATTGACAGCAGGCTGAGCCACGGCTTGCTGTGTACTGTACACATTGCTAACGGCAGGCTGTGGTGGTAAGGCTTGTGCTGCTGTTTGCATCAACGATGGGCTGAGTATAGTCGGTGTTAGGTTGCTGGCTGGCAACATTCCGCCTGGATGTTGTTGTTGGTTTGGTGGTGGCGCGGAGTGACCACTCCACTGGTGATAGACTGAAACGTTCACGGCAACATTGCTACTTGGAGTACCGGAAGCAATAGTGGAGGCTGGGTGCATGCCAGGCAAGCCGCCAAACTGACCGCTAGGATGAAGGACGTTCAGCGCCGGATTGCCTTGTCCCATTGCGTTCGTTGCCGCCGTGGCTGCTGCGACTGGACCTGTTGCTGAACCGGCAGCGGCTGAACTTACTCCATTCACAGAGCTAAGGGAACTGTTGGTTGGTGCTTGCGTCGGACTTACGCCAAGTACTCGGCTGCTTGCCATTTCTTGTTCCTGCATACGCTTGGATTTAGCGCGACGGTTCTGAAACCAGATCTTCACCTGAGATTCTAATAGGCCTAGTTCCGTCGCTATCTGGCTGCGGTCTTCAATCGTGATGTACTTCTGTTTCTTGAACACGTTTTCCAGGTGCTTGAGCTGCTCTGGGGAGAATGGTGTGCGTGGCTTCCTGTCCTTGCGCTGCTTGCGCAGGTGGAACTGCTCCTGCGGCTCACCTGGACAGGACAAGAACGGGAGCACAGTTAAATAAACAGTCACCATGCCAGTTTGGGAGAAGTTACGAACACTGTCTCTAAATGTTGCGTATCTTGCACCAATGTTACCTATGCCAGTCCAGTTGAATCTGAGCTACTTTCATGGCATTGACTTTGTAACATGACCATTGGCTACATACCCCCCCCCCCCCCCTCTCTCTCTCTCTCTCTCTCTCTCTCTCTCTCTCTCTCTTCCCCTTCACCTTGCTATCTAACCCTGCCTCAGCACCTTTGAACCTACTTGTACAAACATGTATGCTGCGGAGTACATACTTCCAGTAACCTCCCGTCATTACTTACAGTAAGCACTGTCTAGCAGGAAATTTGCGGACGGAAACATTTTCGGACAAAGGCGAATTTCGACCTTTCATATGGATTTTATTTTCGTACAGTGCTGCATGCTAAATGCTAAATGCACGTGTTTGCATGTATCTAGTACATAACTTCACAGGAACAAATTTTAGTACGGAAATAATTTTAGTACAAAAGAGGCCGTGTACAAAATCGTACGAAAATAAATTCCGTCCGAAAATTTCCTGCTATACAGTACCTAACACGTTAGATAGTAGATGGTCAAGAAAAGAACCAAGGAACAAGTTGCGCTATATGTCCACTTACACCACCAATGGTCTGTTTACACATACAATCGTTTTCATTTTTTTGTGTTGGGTTTTAATCATTCACCATGACACCGTGAATTGTATTCTGTTTGCCCGTAAAAGCGGCTTGGTATTACCAGTTACTTTTAACAATCAGCTCATGCGATAACATTGCACAAGACTAAACGATTTGTAGTTCCTTGGTCCTTTTCTTTACTACCGTAATCTCGCGCATATATGGTCTATATCGAAAAGTCGCTGTTTTCGTCCTTGCACAAGTGCATTTTCACAAGTGCTTTTTCGTTCGATTCCCTATATGCGAGAGACAAACATCGCAACGGCATGCACTGTGCAAGTACAAATATTCTTGGTGAATGCCTGTACAGTCGTCCCTCTCTAATCCGGCACCCTTTGCTACGGCGTTTTCTGCTGGATTAACGAGGGTGCTGGATTAAGAAATCCTGCCCTCTGACCCGGCCCTACCCAATTGCATGCATGTATCATATGTCAAAACGCAGGGTTTTTCCGTGTCGACCCAAGTATTTGGTGCACGGCTTTATATTCTCAACTGTTCTCCAGGAATATACACAGTGATAACGTGATAAAGTAAAACAGAGAACATGTTCACATGTACTCTTGCACACACACGCACACACACCTGAAAATTGGCAGGACACTACTCCTTGCTCAAATAAGAAAGTATGGTTGACTGCTTAGCCGTTGTCTCCTGGACAACATTGACCCTCTTGAGAAGGCCACGCAAGCAGTCGACGTCATGCAGGTCGAACGTTGTAGTTAGTTGTAGATCGTCAGTACCGTCGGTCAGTGCCGTGCAATGTTATCGCATGAGCTGATTGTTTAGTAACTGGTGGTGTTAGTGGACAGATAGCGTAACTTGTAGTTCCTTGGTCTTTCTCTTTGTATAAATGAGTTAGGGTTCGGAAAAGTCCTAACAACCAACCGAACTCTCCCGCGCGAGGTCGAGTACATTGTCAACTGAACTGAACTCTGAAGCCCGCACGCGCGGCACTGACCAGACTGGCCTGGCCTAGCCTGGCCTGGCAAGGAGTGCACCTGTATGGTACGCGATTTACGACTGCCGGATTATGAAATCAAACTACGTGCAGTTTGAGCGATTCGTTTCAAAAGGTCACTGCCGGAGGCGGAATTCAAGTGCCGGATTAAAATGTAGAAATTGAACGAAAAAAATCGGTTTCGTCAGAAAGTGCGCCGGTTGGCAAGGGTTCCGGATAAACAAGTGCCGGATTAGAGAGGGACGACTGTACAATGGAACCGTGATGAACCTCGTGTGGTTTTGTGATTTTCATTCACTTGCATGTTCTAGAGACCTTCACTACATGACTAGCACTCGAACGTCTCTTCTCTCGCCTTGGCACCGGGCACTGCCCGTATAGTGCCCGTATCTCAGATTTGCCCGTATCTGAGGACAGCTCATCTACCATGTATCATATCAGTTTTTGAAGAAGTCGAGTATTTGGCATGTATTGCACATGTTCAGGATAAGAAAAGAATCTATTGATGAAGATGCATAGTTTACATCGCACACACATGACAAGTATGCACTTGCCCGTATGAAAAAATAGTTCAACCCCCCAAACACGAAGCATTTTTGCCATAGGAACTCAAGCTGAAGGTGCCCGGTAGGGCACGTCCGGATAAGACGTTAGAGTGTATTCGAAAATAAGATCATGTCCTTAAATGCGCGAGATTACGGAATAAATTAATCACTGGCTCTCCATCCGAGTCTAACCTAGATAGTTACTAACATTTTCCGACCATGTTGATTACCAACAAACTGAGGCTTTCCTTCAATACGATTAGACCTTTCGATCATTGAATTCAGACCAGGATTGGCTGAATGGCGATAGTCACCTCGACATGCACAATACAGTTAGCTAGGATGTATCCGCCACATAGGCGTGAAAACACACATGACAAGTATGCACTTGCCCGTATGAAAAAATAGTTCAACCCCCCAAACACGAAGCATTTTTGCCATAGGAACTCAAGCTGAAGGTGCCCGGTAGGGCACGTCCGGATAAGACGTTAGAGTGTATTCGAAAATAAGATCATGTCCTTAAATGCGCGAGATTACGGAATAAATTAATCACTGGCTCTCCATCCGAGTCTAACCTAGATAGTTACTAACATTTTCCGACCATGTTGATTACCAACAAACTGAGGCTTTCCTTCAATACGATTAGACCTTTCGATCATTGAATTCAGACCAGGATTGGCTGAATGGCGATAGTCACCTCGACATGCACAATACAGTTAGCTAGGATGTATCCGCCACATAGGCGTGAAAAGGTTACTCCGTACAGCATCAAGAGTTCTCGCAATGTACCCAATGATACACGCTAAGCAGAGCTCTACAGCTGTATGAGAATCTCTTACAGTCTTGATTATCCAGATCTGATCCCACACTTACTAGTAGTGTAACATAACTAACTAGATGTCAGGCTGCTAGAGACCTTCACTACATAACTAACTAGACGCCAGGCTGCTAGAGATCTTCACTACATAACTAACTAGACGCCAGGCTGCTAGAGACCTTCACTACATAGCTAAATAGACGCCAGGCTGCTAGAGACCTTCACTACATAACTAACTAGACGCCAGGCTGCTAGAGACCTTCACTACATAACTAACTAGACGCCAGGCTGCTAGAGACCTTCACTACATAACTAACTAGACGCCAAGCTGCTAGAGACCTTCACTACATAACTAACTAGACGCCAGGCTGCTAGAGACCTTCACTTCTGCATACAGTACACAGGTTTTCTTACGGTTAAAAGTCCACAGTATAAATTGCGCAATTCGCTTCAGGACTCTATGAGACCGAGTTCTCCACACTATCTCATTACACAATTATTATCCATCCTATCCAGACGTATCACGGGCCATTTTACATCAGGAAAGATGCAATGGAAGAAGCAATAACAGTGAAACGACAAAGCAACATGCACATGTACTGCCTGCATCCCCCGTTTTCAAGCAACATTAGTACTGGGGCATGTCACAAAGTGAGGCGTGAACATCTTACCACCCACAAACACACAGCTAGCTCAAAGTAGCATTGAGAATCTTGTGCAGTCGTACGAGTGGGAGGGGGTGCACCACAAGTTGACTCTAGCAGACATGGTTAGAAATGAAAACCCTAAGCTATAAATGAATGAATTGGAGCAAGCGTACTAAAAGTAATACATTCCAGTGATTCCACATCAATGCCATTCACTGCCAAGTCACCTCTTCAACTGTGTATCTATTTCAATGGGAAATGATGAAAACCTTACGGTAAGGATGGGTAAATGGAGTCTGTAAGGAGTTCGTGGGGCAGCGCATTGCACTGTTTCATTCAAGAGATACTGGCTGGCCCCATATCTTTTTTCATCTCATCATCTCTACTTCTAGTACTAGTCATCTCAAGTTATCTTAAAAGTTAGTGTGTTGAAACAGAATGCACCACGCATGCACTTTGACTCAGCTGCATTGTACAACCCCCTTTTGATGCCTAGGGTCTACGCAAAGAGAGAGAATGTATGTGGGTGAATGTTCTGTGACAAATTGCACCCCACCAAGTTATTCAACGTGCCCCGGGGCAGTACAGCTTAGAGACGTCGGGAGGCGGGATTTGCCTTAAACACGGTAATGACCTGTGTGTTGTACAGCCCACGCGCAAAAGCCTCCTTGAGACCCTGACAAGAATTGCGTTACATGCCAAAGCGCAAAGGAGCCCTGCAAGGTGACAACACGCGCACCTGGAGGCTGGTGACTTTGCTGGCCACAGATCTATGGCCTATTATATTGAAATCAACAAGTGCTCATTGTGTTGGAAACTCAGTGACTTGCTCTCAACAGTCGTAGCAATTCTAGGAACAAGCTTAGAAGACCTCTTGCAACCTGGCGGGGACAAGTACTACACCGATAAAGTTCTTAGCAATTGAGTCCCAGCCATCCTTGTTCTGTCGCTCACCTCTCACTCCCAGGGAGGATTAAGGAGTGAGAATTTAGGCAAGGTGCTACAACAAAGGCCGATCTAGTGTCTCCGAAAACCACGTGAAGTATTTTTTAGTCCTTTTTCAGTGTGTTTGAACAGTTGCACTCACATAGTGAACTTATCCCGGGCTTTTACTTGGGCATGCCATAGTCCATACTATGCATGCCATTGTCTATGAATGCTCACAAAAGACCCTACTCACACCTCTGTGTTGGCATGTTCTGTCTGTACTGGTGAGAGTGAGAGCGGAATGAGGAGAGAGAGAGAAGTACTTTGCGAAGTTTGCACCTTGCTTCTATCCCAGGCAGTTCCACGGCTGTGTCTGACCTATGTGACTGTGCAGGCATGTACAGCTGGCCCTTACTTCTTTGGGACCCAGGACACCATGTAGGCATTGCCCATGTTGGCTTGAGTATCCAATCTCAACACATTACTTTCAAGTACTTGTCTACTTTAATTGCCCACATTGGCACAAAAACTTGAAGCGAAGAAACTACTAGTACCAAGAGCACATCAACAACTACTTGAAGAGCTTCCAACTCTCCCGGGAGATTGGGCACAGTGCGCATTGCATCATAAAAATGACGTCAACTTGAAATTCTGTCGGGATAGCACCAACAGTTGAGTTACACACTCTTGGGGGGGGGGGGTATGTACTCTTATAGTACACAATTGGGGGGGGGGGGCAGAAGGTTAGAACATGACAGTCATGTTCAGCGAGACACAAGAAAGAAAGAGAGAGAGAGAAACCAGAGTGTGTACCAGCCGGGGGGAAAAAGACCAACAAAACACAGTTACTGGCTTCACACCACCTTGGCAGGAATGGTTGTGCTTTACAGAGAAATGCTAGGAAATCTGTGCGTAAGCACAGCTGTTTGGAGCCAAGGTGACAGGTGGAATGCAATGCAAGGATTTCTCACAGGCTCTGAAAGATCAAACATTGGTTTGTGCCATTGGTTGCATCTATTCCAGCAGCAGGGTTGCTCATTTTGAACGTCCAGTATCCTGGATTTCGTGGACAGAGCAGCATTCTCTTCAGTCTCTCTGGATGGTCGCAATGTTGAACATTTCAATTGGACTCAACTATGTTACACTGAGCTGCAGTGCACTTAACAATGTGTTAGATACCATGTAATTCCGTAACGATCTGAGAGAATCCGATGATGATGCAACCAAGCGGAATTTACTCTTCAAATTTGGACAGATACGATAAAAGAAACCAAGAGTTTCGCTATGACTAAATGGCTGCAAAAGCAATCATCACCTCATAAAAGATGTCTTTGGAAACACACTATTGCCACCCCTGTTGCACTCTCCAAGGGCCCCAGTCAAAACATCGTTTCTGGCGCTAAGGCGATTGATATTTGAATGAGGAAGGTTGGCCGGGTGCGCATCGTGGAGTGGTAGCACCCAGTACTTAAAATGATTATAGTAGCCAAGTTTGCCACTGATTTCTCTCTTCAAATATGCTTCAGTATTATCAAGAATGTGGAAGTGAACTCATCTACTATCACCATATACATGCAATAAATCCTCGATGCACGTGTGGCTCCTTCTGGGAAGCAGCAATTCTCTTCCCATCACCAGTGATAAGATGTGCTGTGAGGCTTTGCAAATCAGATGAGCGTTTGTATGCACTGCTTCAAAACATGACATTTCTAATTAATTTTGTATTTTGGAAGCATTGCAAGAACTTCAAATCCAAAGGATCATTTGGGGAAAGTGAACTGCCTGAAAAGCCTGTTGCCATAGACAGAATAGAGTATTGCTCATGACAAGCAAGATCCTGGGTTTGAGTCCTGGTAGGTAGGGTAGGCATTTTTTTCTCTTTCAGGCAGTTCACTTCCTCAAATGATCTCCTTAACTTGTAGTTTATTTTATTGCTTTTTTAGAAAGGATTCCCAAAAGGCTTCTCGCCTATCGAGGAGGTTCATAATCCCAATGCCGTATTTACATTAGCAAACAATAGCAGCCTGCTATTGTTTGCGAAGTTCTCTCCAGTCTTGCGTGTGCCGCTGGCAGGATATTCCATCACTAAAAAAAAAAGCTTAAAAAATGGTCTGCTTACCTGCCCTAGTACTTGTCCGCCGTGCATTGCCAGCTGCACCAGTCCCGCTGTTACTGATGGCCGATTGACTATGGAGGTTCAATGCCTGCCGTGGCGTGCTATATCTGGCCGGATCAGACCTCATTGGCGAGTGAAGAGCGTGCAGCGCGTATAACGAATCGCTGGCAATCGGCGGCCGCATATTGGGCATGTACGCTCCCATGTCATGACCGTGGATAAAAGCTGGACGTGGCTCAGGAGCAGACATGGAAAACTGGCCTCCCCAAGCTTGGAAATGAGTACGAGGGGTTTCGTCCAGTGGTGACATGCCACTGGCACTGCCGCCACTTGGTGTAGAGTCCTGGCTCAAAGCTCTGGATCGCTGTGATGCATGAGGCACAGAGAAGCCATGGGTCAAGTTTCCTTGCTGAGCCGAATACGGAGTAGAGACCAGGGTTTCTTGCTGAGTTTGAGGTGATTGTGGGCTGAGCAGCTTCGGTGTTGAAGTGGTCTGTGCTTGGGATAGTCGCGAATACGCATTTTGCGTTGGGAGAAGCTCCAGGTTCATGGAGCTGTCCAACCCTGGAGTGGTATCACCAGTGTTTATCACCATTGGTCCAGCAAAGGCACTAGCAGTTACAGGCCTACGTTGTGGCGGAGGCAGGGTCTGCATTGGTTCTGTGTCTGTGATCGGCGGCCCGGATGAGAAATCAGCAAAACCATCCGTAGTGAATTGCCTGTTGAAAATCCTGTTCGGTGTGCTGTCCATGGAGAAGGTCCACTAAAACCTAACCAGTGTTGGCTCTCTGCTGCTTTGGTTACTGCTGTTGTGCTGGGCGGTGGCTGCTGCCTCTCAGATGTGTGGCTGAGTTAGAAATTTCCTGTCATTGCCACATCGGTTGAGCATGAGAATATGTGCAGGACTGGAGAACAGAGCAAGCATGACAAGATCAACATCAGCACGGTGAGTGAGGGGAGTACTCCTACCTTCCGACATCCTCCTCCTACTCATTATTAGCATCATCCGTTTTTAGTGCTGTCTCACACCTGGGAAACAACTCTCTTTCTCTTTCTCTCTCTCTCTTTCTCTTTTTCTTTCTTTCTTTCTCTCTTTCTTTCCCTCTCTCTTTCCCTCTCTCAATTTCTCTCTCTCTCTCTCACCCCCTTCTCTCTACCGACGGACTGACTCAAGGCTAATTTAGTGAGGAGATACAAAGTGCAGTCAAAGTGATTGGCCAACTCCGGGTCACTTGTAAAGGTTGAACGGAGTGGCCATGCTCCAAGGGTGCATTGGTCACACCTCAGTATACAGTCGACTGTACCCACGGCCAGACAAGAGAATGATAGCGACAAGAGACACTGACAGAACATAGTAAGTAGGCAGACAGACACACAGACAAACCACCAACCCAGCATGTTGTGCTATGCCTACTCTCTACGCTGCAGCGTTGCCACACAGGCTTGTTGTAGCTCAAGTGACAGGGCACGAGAAACCCAGCAACTCGAAAATTATTTTATTGATAACGACTGAGAAACGAGTCTGTTGTTACTTGAGAATAGCCTAAATGCCTCCACTTCGTACTTATAGGCAATAAAGCAGGACATAATTATCATACCTCAAGCTGCAACCGCTCTTTCACGGACTCCAACGACAGGTGAGGAGCGTCGTGCTCGCTTCCTTCTCCAACAGTGTTCCACAAAACTATCAACTGAACGACAGTACAAGACGCAACGAAAACACCACTCCTCGTCTTCCGGAACCAATTATTTCTGCTTTCTTTAGCAGCTGACAGGTGATAATATACGGTATATTGCCCTGGCAGTATAGTGCCTGGGTGCTCAGTCGACTGAGCATTTTTTTAGAGCCTGGGTCCTCGCTAAGCCTAAACGCGGCTTGAAGACAAAGCAAACCGTGATACCCCCGGAGGGAGGTCTCCTCAGCCTTTGCGTGCGCGATCTGTCACGTATATTCCCTACACATTCATTCACACCTCGATCTCTCAGCACTCTTTCAAGTCTTTGCTACTCTGCACTCCGCGATCCGCTACATGTACACACTGACGGTCTGTGCGAGTGACCTGTGAAAGCTGTGAGTGACCTGTGAGTGTGACGGGGCAATGTGGTGGTGCACCTACGACGGGGCGACGTCCTAGGACCTAGATCCTGTCGGTGGCCTCTGTCACACAATACAAGTGCTGCAGTATGACTCTATGATGAGGTAGGCCTACTGCAGTGCAGACTGAGTCTGTAGCAGCACAATACTCAATAGTATTAGTAACACATGGTCCACATGCACAGTCGTCGCCAAAATAATCCGGCCAATGCGGATACAGTGCGGGACGCGACGGACGGTGCTACGTAATGTCATTGTAGCATCCATGCTTTTACCAGTGTTTGCTGTAGTGTAGATCTACCAGCACGGACTCTGACTGACTGCTTTGAGTACTGACTATGCAGCTACGTTCATGATAGGTACAGTGCTAGGTGCAGTGATAGTGCATGGCCTACAGCTATGGCCGGATTTTTGGCGACGACTGTAGTAGGAGCTAAAGAGGCCTTACTTAGTGAGGCCAGGGTGGACGGACATTTACCCTCGACCGAGGTTCTAACTTTCAAGAGGCTCTACTACTAGTACTAACTAGGCCTAGTACAGTAGCAGCGGAAAGCAGTGCAACGCCAAAGGCAAAGGGCAGAAAATTATAATAGACGCATGCACATACATAGACGCACGCACACGCGCAGCAACTTCATAAGGCATGATAAGCATGATTGTACTTACCGCATGATCTACATCATTGTACATCCTGGTATTCATAGACATAGGGTCATTCCTGCCACTACCTACATGACTGTATGCGTTACTTTGCAAGTCCTGTGTGTGTACAGATATCCGGGCACTAACCCAGGGTGTAGCAGATTCCTCGCCGCGGGCCCAACTCTCACCCTCTTTTCTCCTCACCACTCATGATCCAGCACTCTCACGACCTGACCCTAATGGTGATGCTGTATCGGTACTGTATCGATTCCAGACCCTGGATCGAAATGCAGAGAATGCTCGTCAGGTTACACTTACACCTACACTGGATTTACAGCCCGCTATGCGCGCGCACCCATACCACCTGCAGACTCCTTTTGTACTTTCACACTGTGGAGTGTGGTCACTTCTAGTTCTGGGCTCACAGCTCAATGAAATCCGGTCGCGTAAGTAATAGTTTGCGCCTCGCGCAATTATTTTCGCAGCCCAGGCCAGTGTTTGCAGGTCTAGGACCGCTCAATGTCCGGTGCATACTTTTAAGCGACTTGATCGGATTTCATTGAGCCGTATGTCTAGTATGTCTACGTACACATGGTACTTGGTAGACTACATAAACGTGTGCATGTACATACGTCTGTAAGTCATGCGTGCAGTCGTCTGGTGTCGATACACGCCGCCTTGAGCACTATCCTGCCATGCAACGTCCTCCTACCGCTAAGCCACTGGAACGCGTTGGGGTTGGCCGTTTTCGCACTTCGCGGACGGAAGGTGACGGAAAGGGGAAAGCCAAAAGCGATTCAACGTTACCAACCCTCGCAGCGAGTTCAATGTCACACCTTTTGCTCTCAGCCAACCTCTCCGACATGGCTATCCCCATCCCCTAATACTAGAATGACACACGGGAGAAATAGTTCCGTCACTTTGCTCACGCCATCATCAACCATAGCGTGTATTGTTTTTCTTGTTTTCGTCCAAACTATTACTATTAGCTTGTACAGTGATAGCCCTTACCGCGTGCTGAGCCACGGCACGATCCATAGCCATGGCATAGGCATTGTGACTTTCTGCAAGAACTCATCTGTGATCCGAGAAAAAGAACTGTTACCTGAATTTCGTGGTCGCGTGCGTCACAAGAATGTGCACATGTCTTGAGCGGCACAGAAGTTGCATCAGCAAATCCAGAAGCTTATCTGACTTATCTGACTCTTTGAGCGCAATGAAAGGCGTTTTAGAAGGCTGGTCTCCCCGGGCAAAAAGAGTGCGTCGTGAGCTCCAGGGCACGAACAAATTTACCTGACTGCCAACTCCTACAAACAGTACTTGAACGAAGTTGAGAGCTGCGAGAGTGACTGTGAGATAGAGGAAACTTCCCAGTACTGTCATGTACACTGTGCACACAACACTTGCCTGCAAACTGAAAGGTTGGGGAATCAAGCCCCGCGGTCGCATTTCTGACTGCAAAATCCCAATGACGCCGCTGAGCTCACCAGATCAAGGTGTTATGTGGGTCCTCTTCACTCAGTAGAGACGAGTCGCACGACCTGTACTTCTGGTAGGTCTACATGAGAGGCGGGCTCACACCCCAGTATGGCGACTTCCGGAATTCCCCACGTCTCACCCTCAATACGACGTGAATACAGTATGCATATGAGTAGTATCAGACATACTGCCCAAAGATTAAAAAACTGAAACGGAAATATAGAGAAAAAAAGAGGAAACAACTCGGGTACAACGGATGACCTGGTGTAACAAAAACAGGAAAGCAAACCAGCACTTCCAGCGTTCCTGGCTGACACTTATCTGTTGGTTCAGCGCTCTTCCATTAGGGCATGCCCGCTCAGATAAACCCTCTATAAATATAAACCCTCTGGCGATGAAGCGAACAGTCGGGCGTGTGCGCGACACGGAGACCTTCCACTTCCACTGATATGAGTCCTTGTTGTGACGCGAATCTCACCTCTCCTGAATCCTGGCACTTGTTGCGTGTGCATAGCGAAGCCTATCATTGACCCCAGCGTAACACCGCAATCATGTACAGTTATGTACCCAGCGTAACACCACAATCATAATAATTAGACAATAGATCTACAGTCAAGCTGGCGAATAACGACCCTGAATGGTATCAAGTTAAACGGTATGCATTACTGTAATACTGTAGTCTTAGTCATGCATTGCAGCTACGCTACTGACAATGTGACGTTCACAACACTATCTCTGTAGCTGGTCAAGGTTGCGCTATAAGACGATCATATCTATCTATCTACTAGTATCTATCTACACAATTTGCCGACAGAACTTTTTCGTCCTTTGTGGACACATCAGCGCTATCTATCTACATGTATCTAACGAGAAAGTCGTAACTCTAAGTTTCATGCTACTGCAATCGTTAGACGGCTGATACTGAAACCTCATTTGTATCTATCTATCTATCTATCTATCTATCTATTACTTCAAAGAGGAAATTTCCCTTCATCTTAGACTAGGGCAGTCCCCACAGACTAAATGTCTTCTTACGGGCACCCTAAGAGAGTGAGTATGCTGTCACGGAAAAGACATTGATCCTCTTTACTGATACAGTGATACCAAAAACACAAAACCAGGTTGAGTACAAACACTTTCTCGGAAACAAAAAAAAAACAAAAACAAAAAAGCAAGAACAGAAAGACCACAAGCATCGGTACTCTTGGTGATACCATAAATACACATACAACATACCAATTTCAGTCGGACTCCGCCGGATTCATTTTCAACGTGTACATGTCTTGACGAAGAAACTGTTCAGTGAGATCAACGTGTAGCACTAGTGGTAAATCTAGGTGTGGTGGATGCGACCATGGTGACTAGATACTCTCGTAATTGCAAGTGTGGTCATGGTTCTACTGCCACCTTCATTTGGCTTCAAAGGATTTGCACGTTCCTGAGTCGAATGATCCCAAGAGCACCTACCATAATCATGGCCCATTGGATCATGGAGGTTACTGAGTCTCTAGCACGCTTTCTGGTACATGTAGGTACGTCCACCTAAGACTGTCCTTGCTAGGTCTCCACAGCAGGTGGGCTCAGAATCTGGATGTTATGTACGCTGCACTGGCTTTCCGCTGGACGCCGCTGGTGAGATCTAAGAAAAGTTAGAGCAGCTGCGTCACAAGCCAGCCCTCACGTGCCCACATTATGGAGCTGCCCAGCTGTCGAGCGGGAGGAGTTTAGTTAAATGTAGTTGCGGCTTCACACGCACCGTATTCTGCACGGAACTGACAGCTTACAATTCAAGTCACGCCTCAGGATCACACTTTACTGATCACTGCCCCGTACCGTGCTACCAGAGGTCAGGATGCCTACTAGTCTGCCCATCCCCAGTATTTCAGGATCTAACAGACCAGTACTCATTGCTGCTAAGTTGTGGAACGTTTTGCCCTCCCCTCCCTCTTTAAAGTCCTGCGCTACCACATCCCAATTCAAGACTACAAGAGTCTATTGAAAGCTCAGTTTTCTTCACTTCACAATATCCAGGTTATCTTATCTATTCTCTTTTCTCTATTGTCATCATAACAATGGGCATGATCGTCCGTTTGACTTCCGATGTAAAAAATAAAAATAAATACAACTGTACAAAAAAGATACAATACAAACACATAAATCCCTTCCCTCACACAAGCAAGTGCATGAAGAGGCGTCTTTGGATTGAGGAGTGCTGGTTTCGAAACAACTGGTTTCAAGCTCATAGCGGAGCTGCTTTTAGCTCAAAGTAGAGATGCAATGCTTATTATAAACGGGTGTAATGTCTGAACGCAGAGCCGCAGCAAATCATGAGCTACAAGATAAAACCAGTTGTGAGAGTGAACCCAATCAATGGGTACAACAGTGGCGGATCCAGGGGGGGGGTTCCGGGGGTTCCATGGAACCCCCTTAATTTTGCAAAGTGTGCTGCTGAGAAATATCGAAAAATATCATGACGTGCACGAAAGGATGTCCGTCCGATCACGATCACACTCACAGTGCAGTCACTGCGTCAAGGGGTACAGTGCACTGCACGCGCGTGCGGTAGATCGATACTGCACGTATTAGTCTGTACTGGTACATGTAACAATCATGGTGTTCACGTCCGTGATTTACAAACGGACACTGTAGACAACATTGGGTGTTATTTCCATTTTGATCTTTCGAAACGATCCAAACTTACCTCCAT